AATCGTATTTACACGTGGATTGAAATGGTGATTCATGGATATTTTTCGAAGGATTCGTGTGAACGGGATGAAAGCTCGCGAACGACTGGGCAGGACATTTTTGTGGGGTGGAAGGGCAGGTAGGCTCCTGGGGCCTAACCTGAAAGAAACCTTTCTGGTTTATTCGTGTCTGCACTGTGTCCTCAGCGGTGCTCAACTTCTCTTATGAAATGGGATTCCCTGTCCTTTTCTCGCTCGCCTCCTTTCATCCGTTCCAAAGGTTCATTATCGGTCGTTAAAGCTTTCTCAACGATGGTAATCGATGCCGACTCGAAAACAGGAATGGCGTGGGAGGCTCGTACGATGCTCGATAAGAGATAAAACGTACGAATAGCGTGCCAGCTTAGATTTCAGCTTTCTCGTTTATCTTTGTTGCGTAAGATTTTTAAAATAAAAATCCAGGAAATAACGAGGTTACGGTTTTTTTGCAACAAAAATAAATATATATTAATTGATCACATCGTGTTTTATCGTTTGATGCTCGATAACTCGAATAAGTTAATCTTGCACGTAAGTGAAATTGAGAAAAACAAATTGAGAATTATTAAACACTATGAAACAAAATTTTAATACCTCTACATAAACGAGGAGAAACCGTTTTCTATTCTCATTACGATTTTTCCTCGTTTCTCGTTTTTACCTTTACTTTTAATTGCAACTTGTTCCCCTTTCCTACGTATTATTTTCATCTCTATCGTATCCCATATTCAAAATTATTAAATATATACAATTATCAGAGATTTCAAAAAAAAATTAAAACTTATTATATAAAATACAGAATATAAAAAAAAAAAAGAAAAAGAAAAAGAAAAAAAATCAGAGAGAAATGTAATTGAGTTGATCAAAGTTTCGATGACCTCGATAGCCTCGTAAAACACGATGGAAAAGTTCCATGTCGTGTAACACACTTTCCATCGAAATTAGCAGTTGAACGATACTACACACTATCCGTGAACTAGTCAACGCTTGGTCAGACCTTGAGACACGAGGAGGACAGATGTCGTAAATGGGGCCGAATGGAGAGAGAACAAGTCTACTACTGCTCGGAAAGAGAGAGAGAGAGAAAGAGAGAGAAAAGGAAAAAGAAGAAATGAGAGACGCTGCGGGGCGCGCACCAGGCAGCAAAATACACAGAGAGCGTGGCGGGGCCAGGCAGGTTTTGGGTGACTGTCAGAGCTGTAACACGCACAAAAGGCAGGTGCTGGAATGCATTGATTGCCTCTGCCCCCTCTCGGTATCCCCCTACCGCCCGTGTATCTGCTATGGGAACACACCCTTTTCTCCCAGGGAAACGCAGAACGAGAGCCTGAAAAGACCCTGGAGAATGCGATCTGCGAGCTGCTCAGAGGGGGATTATCCGTATTTTCACCCCGACGGCGGGGGTGGTTTCGTCTAACCACTAAACTCGCCCCATTTTCCTCCATTCCCCGATTCTCTCCATGTTTAAATGACGATTCTTATTCAATGGAACGTTGTTTCTTTTCCTTGGATTGATTTTTTTTTTTTACAATTTGAAGAAAATTAGAGAATTATTTACCAAAATTTTTCTTTATCGTATTCAAAACGCTGTATATTCAAAAACGAAGCGAAGGAAATTCATTTATTTCTATATGTTAAACTTCTCCAAGTATTTTCTTCGATCTTGAACAGATTTTAAAATATATCTCGTTGAACAATTTTCAATCGAATTTAAAATTTTAAATACAGAAAATTTTTATCACCTGAATACTTTCCACTAATAAAATCGGTGAAAAAATTAAATATCGAAGAGTTCGAAATTTCTATAAAAATACGAAATATCGGAAATGATGAATAAATTCAAAATATTTTTCAAACCGTTTTAAACAAGCAATTCAACAATACCCGTAACCTTGTTATAAACTTGTTCCAATTCTAAATATTGCCTCGAAATTTAATCGACGATTTACGAATTTCCGCGCAAGAAATACGTGAAAGGTAGCGTGAAATTGTTGTTGAATGGGAGGGTTGGAGAAACGCCGTTAACGCCGGATAGTGTTCTTTTGATGAAATTTTGAAATAACCGCGGAGGAATTCGAAGCGTTGGGAAACTTGATCGCGAATTTTATGGGACGGTAACGGGGCACCGACGGGGGGGGAGGTGGTTCTCGGTTTTCGGAAAATTTCTCGTTTCACCACTGGTGCATCGAATGCAAAGTTCGTTGAAAATTCGGCAAAGGGAATTTCGAACAGTTGCGGATAACTGGGGCTGCGGTTTTCGAGGGAAACACATATACGAATTCGACGAGACGTGGGGAACATCGTGCCGATTCGCCGAGGTGGTAAAAGCCCGTTACTGCTAAATTGTTTGCCCGAACAGTTTAGCAACAAACTTAAACGCTTAAAAAGTTAATGTTAACGTTGATTTTTCGATCCCGATTTTACGTTAAATCGATAATTTTTTTTTATATCAAGATTTGTATTCGATACTCTTTGGATTTAGTTTCAGGAAAATTCGGAAAATTTGCCGCCCTCCTTTGGTCGAGGAAAGCGTAAGATCATCTAATATTTTTATTCCTGTTTGAGTTTGAATTAGGGGTTTTCAATCGTGATATAAATAATTGTAAAAATATTAAAAGATATTTATACAATACGAATTATTTAATTGGACTTTCCTATTTAAATTCTTTTTTTGTTTTTGGATAAAATGTTAATCGAAGAACGATTCAAACGAATTTAAAAGAACGTTTAAATCACGTTTTATAAGTTGTTAAATTTCAGGAAAATTTGTTTCATACTTTTCGAAAGTATATTTTTTTTTTTTTTTTTTTTTTTTTTTTTTGGAAAATTTATTAAATCACAGTCATTATTTCAATTCAATAAGAAGAATTAAGAATTGTAAGAATTTTATGATTAAAAAAAAAATAAATAAATAAATAAAATTGAAATCGAAATTATAGATTAATAAGATTAATAGATTAATAAGAATTTTTATATTTGTTTCTTCCGTTATTATTACTTTCATACAACGCAATATGATAATATATTTCCCTCGAGTATCTCGGAATCGGGCAAAATCGATGAACGAATCGCTTCAATTCCCAACATTTTACTTGGAAATTTGCAACAACTTCCACGGAATGTCGGTGCAAACAAGTGGCTGCTAGGTTTCTCAGAATTTCCAAGACGTCGCCCTTGGACGTTGCTTGCATAATCGAGCTCAACCGTTAAATATTTAACGTCGGTTCTTTAGCTGAATGCGCGATAAAAATATTTCCACCTTTCCTCATGTGTCAGAGAAGGGGAGGGGAGGGAGGGAGGGGAGGAAGAAGAGGAGGAGGAGGAGGAGGAGGAGAAGGCGACAAGTGACGCATCGCGATGTCCTCGTTAGCACCAAGATTGTGTTTGTCTTTCGGGGTCGCGAGAAACCTTAACTTAAACTTCCGGGATTCCGACTGTATCTTTTTTCCTTTTTTTTTCCTCGTCATTTTTTTCTTTTCTCTCTCTCTCTCTCTCTCTCTCTCCTTTTGAAGAAATAAAATATAACGTGAACAAACAACGTGGAAGTTAGAGATAATAATACATAATATAAAATTGTTAAAATTTTAATAATTGATTCGATTTTAACATGTAAATGCAAATCAAACTTGTAAACTATCTGATATAGGAAAAATGCGCGATTTCGAGGAAATGTATAATTAATTTTTTTGTGGAAGAACGTGAAAAAGTCATATTGTGAGGATAAGTTTTTTTTTTTTCTTTTTCTTCTTCTTAATACACTAGTCTCGTTATTTCTTACGAAAAGATATTATATCGAAATTATATTGATTTAGAGGATACTTAAAACTCGAAGTTTATAAATTTAAAACTTCTACGAATATATGAGAAATATATTCCACGATGTTCATATGCTTTTCTTATCTTTCGTATATATAGAATTCTAGAAAATTCAAGTTCGAAATGACACGAGTTCAATAAATAATTTAAATCCTATTTTTAGGAAATGACGAATTTATCACGAGATATTATGTAATTCGATTTAAAACGAATCTTTTATCTTTTATCTTCTTCGACTTCCTATATATCTAACTACAGAAAAAAAGTAATTACATATATCTCGTTATATCCTTCCCGAAGATAACTCAATTTCTATTTAAATAATTTTTCTTGCAATAATATAAATAGTTTACGATTATTTGTTTTTACGGATTAAAGTCGAATACTATCATTGTATCAATAGATAAAATCTGTACGTTATCTACGTTTATTACGATATATATTCGTATTTCTATAAAATAAATTTAAAAAATTAATTATTAAAACAATTAAGAAAAATACGAAAAATACGATGAACATGTATGAGATGTAATTTATATTTTATATTAAGATATTAATATATAAGAAGATTCGATTCTTATATAGAGATCAAAACAAATAGAAAAGTTGATGGTACAAAAATTGGAATTTATTTATTAAGTCACAAGCAATTAAAAATTTCGCGTTTTAGACGTAACGAGATACATATCTCTGTCTCCGTTACGCCGCCATCGCACAAATCTTCCCCTCTCGCTTCATCTAACGCTTCATCTAATTTCTATCATTTATATAACTTAAGATAAATAAGCCTCGACCGACATTTTTGTACACCAACTTTTATGTTTGTTTTCGTGTCTAGAATCGACCTTCTAAAGCTGTCCCACAAATACATCGATACTCCGTACATAACATATACAGGTGTACCATGTACATGTTATCGAGGAAAAAAAAGTATTCGCGTAATCCACTTCGTCGACTGTGAAACGAAAAGGAAGAGAGGGGAAGAAGATATTCGACCGAATTCGGCGATCAATCGCGCTTAAAAATGCACATAATAGGGAAGATTTTTTGTCGAGCATCTGTTAGACACGCTGCTCCACGTTAGAGGAAGGGGGAGGAGGGGGGGTCTGGAGGTCATTAAAAACACGCGCGCACCGGAGAGAAACAGGCAGTAAAGGCTGACTAACCTTTTGTTGCGCCAGCCTTAGGGACTCTTCGAAGTGTTTGTGAACTGCCTGCTCGGCGGCCCTTTGCTTCTCGAGCCTCTCCCTTTCCATCTTGGCCTCTCTTTCTCGTTCACGCTTCTCCAGCCGAGCTTCCGCTTCTCGCCGCTCCCTGGAACACGTACAAAAGTTTCAAGGTTACACACAAGTTTCGATCCAGAAACCAACCCGCTGCCACTTAAAAAACGCTCTCGAAACGTTTCTTTTTTTCTTTTTCTATTTTTTATCGCTTCCATCGATCGAGATTTTCTTTGGAACGAATAACAAACGACATAACTTTTTTTCTCCATCTTTGCAAAGATCGAATCTGTTATTTTTCTCTTTTTTTTTTTTTTTTTTTTTTTTTTTTTTTTTTGATTAACGATTTTGCGGTAATACGTCAATTTTATTTCGATTTCCTATTTCTTTTTCTTTTTTGCATCAGTCAGTTAACTGAAACTGTATAATGCATCGAAAGGAATTGAAAATTAATAATACATTTAGAAAGTGAAGAATATCGCACTTCGACGATAAGGATTGACGTACGAGTTTATTCTTGGGAAATGATGATAGAAAATGATAGAAGAGACGAGAGAAATCACCCGGTACATAAGAATCGCTTATTGAACAGGAGAGGAAAAAATTAAAAATTTATTGGGCAATGTTTACTCGACCCATCAGCCAGGAAGAAAAGCATAGTCGAGAGAAATTGGCTTCGATATCGTCGATCTATTATTATCATTATCAGTATTATTATCCACGACGCGTCTACTGCCAAATGTCGCTTTTGCTTCTCCCGTTTAGAAGATTGCTTCGAATGCGCCAACAATTGCGCCCATTGTTGATATTTCCGATTCTTCTCTTCCAAGTTTTACGGGAACACATTTCTAAACAAGGTGAAACGGAATATAGTGCTCGCGCGTGTTTACTCCGTGGTCAAAGCGCGATAAAAAAAATCCATAGAAGAAATATCACTGACCTGTCAGTTCTTAGTCGAGGAAGAAACGAATTTTTCACTCTCTCTTTCTCTCTCTTTCTTTCAAAATACGGAGAACAAGGGAAAAAAAGATTTCCCAGACGATCAATTAGTTTTAAAAAAATAACGATAGGAATAATTATAATATTCTGTTTTTTAATGATCAAAATGAAAATTTTGGAAAATTTGATATTTGATATATATTAAAAAAATTATAAAGTTCGCGATGAGCAGCTCAGAGAAATAGATACGAACGAAATTTTGTTTATTTTTTTGAGATAAATATGAATAAAATAATTGGAATAGAAGAAAACGAAAATTAGATTTTAATTCATGGTGGATATTAAACACAACACTTATTTTATTTATTAAGAGATAAAATATACTATAATTTCCAAGTATTATTTTTTAAAATTAATTAATTATCTGAAAATTCTTTCTTATCTTGCAAGATTGCATTTCCCATGTATGTCTCAAATATTATCGAACGATTGGCAAACAATTATCTCTGATTGTATCCAATATATATATATATATTACATTTTCAAATTTATTAAATCGTATTATGCTCGTGTAAATAATCACAAAAAAAAATATCATTATCAAATAATTAAAATATTCCAGATAATTTACTTTTTTCAAACGAAACGAGAACTGAAATGAAAACTTTGCTCGAAACTATTACAATTCCAATTGTAGCTAAAACGGGTCGTATCTCACATGCGTATCTCACGTGCTCTCTTGACTCACTTGTCCTCTCGGTGTTCTATAACGATAACTATAAATATTAATTAAAATCATGGTATAATTCCATCCTAAAGTCGACCGTTTATATACGCTTTATATTCGCGCTCCTCCGTCTTGACCTTCTGCAATTCTTGCGGCCAGTTTCGGTTTCGACACATCGCGCGCGGTGATCCAGGATACAACAAGGCACCATTGTACACCACACGACCCCGTGGTCGTGGCTCGCGAGCGTGTGTTATTCGCGCATGCGCTCGGTTCACGGGTATTAAAAGAGCCACGATAATAATGCCGACGATGGCGTATCTTTTTTAACAGACTCGGCTAGATAAGCATTCATTAATGCTTGCGTAAGTTATTTATACTGATATGCGCGCAACACACATGCGTTTATCTCGTTGCTCGGGCCATCCCAAGGCATTGCACACACCACACACAGCACGGGCCCGATCGATAAATGCGTATTTCCTGATTACACCGATTCTGCCGATGTTTTTCACGAGTTCTATAAAACGGGCTTGGACAAAGAAATATATAAGCATTTATTTCCTCGTTCCTGGCCGACGGATGATTAAACCAGAGACGCGATTTCATTTTTCTTTTGATACTTTTGTTATCGTTGTTTCAAACACATGGGGTTATCTTCCATCGAACCCCCTCCTCTTTGTTCTCCAACCGATGAAACTCTTTCTCTTTGCATCGAGCAAGATACTTTTATAAATTTTTTTTTTTTTTCCTTTTACTTCTTCGAATAATTTAATTCTTCGATAGGATAAAAATCTCTTTTAGAATTTTTTTTAATTTTAATTGTAAACATTTATAAAACACTTATAAACGTTTAATTCTTTTGATATGTGTATATATATATATATAATACATATTTCGGTATTAAATGAAGTTATATAAATGATGATGATATTGGAATGAAAAGAAGACGTGCTAATCGACACATCAACAAAACCTATCTAACAAGCCTTAGACTTTAAAAGAATAATGAAAGATCGGAAATGTATATTTGTTGAAAAAGGATAGAATTACGTTTTCTAGAAAAATTATCCAATGTCTCGCGGTTTTAAATAATTTAAAAAAAATGTAAATTGCAAAAACAAAGACTAAAGATGCAAATGGAATGAAAAATATTTAAACTTCGACGCGTTAGAATTTCAAATATATACCAATTTTCCATTCCTCCGCCATTAACACAAAAGTTGCAAAATTTCTGTCTCTTGCCAGCAATGTTAAAAAAAAAAAAAAAAAACCAAATCCCTTCACTATCACATCCATTGTTATTAAAAAGTTTCAAAAAAGAAAAAAAAACACGGTATAAAAGACACAATGGCGAAATACAGAAGATATAATAGTTTGCGGAAAGATAATGCACGAACAATGCGAACGATGTAATATCATCAATCTGAAAAGGAAAAAAGAGAAACGAGCCTATGGATTTTCCTAGAAGCTGAACGAGAGACTCGATCAATCCGAGCTTATTATCATGCTTAGACAAGTACTGAAACAAGTTTCTGCATCCGATTTGCATCTCTTAAACAAGTAGACAACTTGTTAAATCTATCCAATTTCCGCCTTTTCCGCAAATATCACTACGTACAATTTATGCATATTTAATAATAAATTTGAAATCCACTATTTATTTCTTCTTATTTCATAACTGGAAATGTTTGCTCATTCATGGAATAAATAATTAAAATAAAACATGCCAACTTGGAAAATTAGATATATCTCTCGTATGTATATACATATATAAATATTTTCATTTTTTTTGATGCTGAATTGCAGATCAGATCATTGATCAAAAAATATTTTCTTTTCCTCGTATTTTTCGTACGAGAATATTCCATTTCTTGGTATTTGATTTTGTTTAAATACATTAAAGAGCAGTCATTTTTCAGGAAAAAAAAAAATAGTACAGAAAAAAAAAATAGTAACAGAAATTAATTCATCATTTGAAATTAAATTTGTAAAAAAAAATTAGATCGATACATTTTAACAATTTTTCGAATCTTAAATTTTCTTTGATCAGATCTCTCGATAAAAGATAAAAAAAAAAAAAAGAAAGAAAGATCAAACTCGAACCGAGTGTTGTACATAAATTAAAAAGCAAAAAGTTTTCTTCCATTTCTAACGGTGGAGAGTCCAGAGCCGAATCGTAGATACACACTTTGTTGGCGAACTTTTAATTTTATGAGCAAACTTTTATATTATATCGTGAGCATGGCAGTTTTAAACTCGAGCCACGACGGACAACGAGGTAAAGAGGACACGTGTAGAAACTGCATCATGTTAATTTAAACATTGCTTCCCGACATTTACCAACATTCTCGGAGAATTATTTCTCCCCACCATCGTCCATTAAACTTCTAACAAACTTCCGCGAACGCTTACTAGTAACTTGCTAGTAGAACTCGAGAACCACGTATCAATCTCTCTGAAATGTTCCTCAAATTCCCGTATCGGGACTGAGGGAATATAAATTTAAATTTTTCGAAATGTATCGATAAATATTTAACTAAATACGGAAATAGTATTTAAAATAATGTATCTTATTTATAAGATGAGAATTTCATTAAAATTATATAATAAGAAAATATATTACTATTTTAAAACATATTTTTAAAAAGCTCGATCTATAATTTTATTAAACTAACTAATAATATTTATTTTCGTAGAAAATATATAACAATAATAAATATAATATAAATAACATTAATATTTCCTATAAATAAATACTAAAAATATTTCAACCTTTATCACTTCATCTCGATCTATATATCGAATCTTCTCCATGGATCGAGACGACGAATTGTCTATAATTGTCTATAATTGTCTACAATTAAGAAAGAATCGGTGATTGAAAAAAAAAAATCCAAAATCCGTACGGCGATTGGGTGAAAACGTTGATTGGCTCGGGAGAAAAGGTTAATCAGCGGAAATGGCCGAAGGCCGACAAGACAGGAATTCCTTCTTTCTCTTTCTCTCTCTCTCTCTTTCCCTCTATCGTCCATTTTTCTTTTGGCGTTGCTCAGAAATCGAGCATCGAGTGCCGGTCGATAAACCAGTCCTGTATGGGAACAGGACAGGTTCGAGCTGTGGGCAACCTTTGAAAAATCCGGTCGGCCAAGACCAGCCTGACCAGAAACAGGGACCAACACAACTCACGAGCAATACACGGCAAATATCACCAAAAAAGGTCTTACGCATCCTCGCCTCTTTTGTTTTGTTTCATTTGAGCCTGCGCGAACTTCTCTCGCTCCCTTTCCTTTCTTCGTATACGCGATGAACACATAAACGCCTTTTTTCGCGTTAAAATGTGTACGCCTCTTTTTATGGACTTGACGCGTCTACCTTGTATCTCGAGAAGACGTTTGCGTCGATTTACGATTGGGCATAAAAAATTC